CGGCGTAGAGATCCAGGGAGCGTCAGGGAGCCTGGGGCAGTCTTGGACGCTCCAGCGCGAGTCGAGGGACAGCAGAAGTCGGCACGCTCTCAGCGAATCCCCCCACTCACTCTCGGAGGTCTAGAGGTTGGCACCAACTGCAGTAATGGCGGTGTGCCTCTACCGAGGGAAGATGATCCCGATCTCGGTCATTTTGGTAGTATTCGGGCCTCCCCGATGGCCGAACTACTACCACCAACACCGACACCTAAGATCATCTCTCCCCAGAGGAGGCATCCCCCTGTGCTAGTGTCGGTGCTCACCTCCGACCTCCTTGCCCTCTGCGCGCCCGCCACCCGTCGGCCTCGGGGTCCCTCCGCGCGCTTGTCGAACGAGCGGCGCCCCGCGCGCGTGCCGCCGAGCGCTGGGCCCCGAGTCCCGGCGGGCGGCGGCGAGGTGTGTGCAGCATCCGCTGTAGCCCCTTTAGGATGGCAGCTCACCCCGACCCTCATAACCGGCGTGTGCTATCGAAGCAGCCGTTTCGTTTACCGAACATTCCCGCCCTGCCCGAGTCATCTAGTATTGGGAAGGCCTTGCGGCTGGCGCCGCCGACCCTGAAGGGGGACGACGACGACAACGAAGGCGGCGACGACGACGACGACGACGCTGACGCTCTGGAGCCCTTCTTGGGGCCCTCTAGGGAGCCTATTGTGCTCTGTTTGGGGGCCTCTTGGGGGACTTCGTGGGAAGCCCCGTGGCCTCTTGGAGCCGCCTCGTAGCGGATCTCAGAGCCCTCGGATGCATGCGGGTTAGTACCCAGCAGCCTGCAATCGCAGACAAGAGTGAGGAGGCTGCCTCCGGAGGTGGGGGTCGGGGACGAGGGGAGGCGGGGGGAGGGGTCCCGAGTTCCTCTGTCCACGAGGGGACCACCCCCCCGTCCCCCTTGCCCACGGGAGGTCACGACTCCCGGGACCCCCCCCCGGGCCCCCTCCGCTACCCCGCCACTCCCTTGGGACCACCCCCCGCTTCCCCCCCTCCCCGCCAGGGAAGAGATCAAAGGGAAGGGGCTTCCTTTAGAATGAATTACGATTTTGTTTGTTATCCGTCCAGCTGGATCGCTTGACGAGGAGGACCCGGGGAAAGGGGGGGGAGCGACGACGACGACGACGACTCAAGCGGGGAAACGTTTCACACAGTCGGCGGATTTACGCGCGCTCGCTCAGGGCTTCGCTTGCATGGGGTGCTTCTTAACAGGGTGATTCTTCTGCCCTCCAGGGGCCTCGACTCCCTCCCCCGCCCTCCCCTCCCCGGGACCCATTCCATCCGATCGATCCGAAGCGGTTTCGTGCTCACAGGGCTCGATCCGATTCGATTCCGACATCCCGACGATCCGATGCGGCCCGATGTCCGCATGGCATTGTGGTGCATCCTGGCGCAGCCGATCCGATCCGATGCCGATTCTTTGCCCATCCAGCCCGAGCCGACGCACATTCCGCTCTGACCTGATTCGACCCGACTCTCCGGGTCGACGCCAGCGGACCTTGCCCCTCCCCTCGGAGGTCGGCGGCGTGGTGGGCCTGATCGGCCTGACACAGACGCTGGACCACGGGGAGTCGCAGACGAGGGACTGCGCCATCGTCAACCCGGACTATCAGGAGCCCCTTGTGCTCCCAAATGGGCCAGGAAACAGCAGCATCCAGCACGTCTACGAATCGGGTCTAGGATCGGGATAGATCGCTTCAGAGAGTTCCGGAACGCTCTTAACGTGTTCCGCGGCCCCCGTCACATCCTCCAGAATCGCTGGATCCAGAGAACTCCGATTTGTCCCGGTCAGATTTTTCAGCACTCTCCTCCTCCGCCTCCTGGCAGGGGAGTGCGGGCAGGGTGTGGGAACACTGCACGGGTAGTGATACGGGCGTGCGGCTCACGAGCAGTGGCGCTCTGCAGCGTATGAGGTGCGACTTGCGGGGCGCAGCATGTGATGTGATGTGAAGTCTCTGTGCGCATTGAACGTTCCACGGGGTGCACTCTTTGAGGCAACAGTCATGGGCGCAGCCAATGCGGTGCAACAAAATATACAGCATAATTATGCGGAGCAATCTATGCACTGCTGTGTAACATATGCGGTGCAATGTAGCTGGACCTTGCGGGCTGGACCCTATCAGTGGCACCCCATCGATGGGACCCTATCAGTGGGACCCCAGTGGTGGAATATCACGTGACCGCAAAAAGGGACTCAATTTACGTAGTAGCGCCGCACAGCGCCAGAAACACTGAGAGCTCTTCATTGCAAGTGAGGCCTGGGGGATGACTGCTCGGGCACGTCATCATTGGAGTGATGTTGCACTGAATGCAGGACTACAGAGGACTCATTTCCAATCTGTGTTTCGGTAGATTTGGAAGGTAAGCCGTCGCCGACTTGAATCGCCCAAGACAGGTTACAAGCAGCTCAAATCATTTCAGATCGCTGCAACACCTGGCGTTCAAGTCTGTGTTCAGCTCTTTTCGTCCGAGGTCTCGCCTCCTGGACCCCGTGAACACTCCTTCCTCCTCGTGGCAGGCGAGGCGTTGCTCCATCATGCAAGCCTGAACTACCAGCCGGGCCAGAGGGACACAGAGGGGAGAAGCGGGAGGGGGACAAGGAGGAACAGCTAGAGGAGAACTCGGAGGATGAGGTGGAGGCGGAGAAAGGGGAATGGAAATCTCAGCAGGTGGGCCATCTTGTGAGGGTTGGGGCGCGGAGGAGGGCAAGAGGAGGAGGAGGACGAGGAGGAGGAGGAGGAGGAGGAGGAGGAAGAGGAGGAAGGTTCTCACCAGTGTTCCAGACTCGGAGTGCGTTCCAGCGCCTGCTTTTCGCCGGGAGCGTTCTGGGGGCGCCCGGATCGTCCCGAGCGGCGGCTAGAGCCAAGTTGCAGCCTCCAAAAAACCATGGGGTTAGCGTTAGGAGGGGACGAGCTCAGGGGGGTATGCATCGACCCCCAATTGCACCACCCACCAGACCAGCCCGACCCGAAGTCCCCAATTTGCACTCCGTTCCCAGTGTGGGGGGGGGGGTCGGGGAACATTGAAAGGACACATAGGAAGCCCGTACAGTGCCGTTTTTAATATATGTTCCGCGTGCGGATCATGTATTAAAAATGCAAACAACGATGAGTTCATGCATAAATTTATTCATACATCAATCATGTACTAAACATCAAATATCTTTAAAATCCTATGTCTTAGCAACTGCCCTGTAGGTAGTCACAGTCGCCCCTTCGTCGCCGCCGGCGGCCCCATAGCCCACCCCAACCAGGAGTGGCATGCTCGTCGGCGTCGTCCTTCTCAGAAGTGTGGCCGTTGCCTGGTTCTTTTTCATCCTCCTCGGCGTCCCCAGCGGCACCCTCCTCCCCTCCTGCTTCTTTGGGGGCAGGCCATGCCAGATTCCGGATTCCTCTTACGGTGCCTCCGCCGCCAGGAGTCGATCACCCTGGTTTGCAGTGAGGGTTCGCTCAACATCACCGTCGACGCCTGCATACCGAAGCAGTGCCCGATCACCTTGTCCATCGCCGTTGCGCTCGGCGACGGTACAGAGAATAGTTTGAAGTGCTGATCGGGGGGTCCTCTCAGGGTAAGGGGATGGAAGGTTTGAGGTGCATCTGCCTTTCCTCCTTCACATGCCCGTCTTCCTACTTGTTCAGCCTCCTTCTGCCTCGTCTTCGTCGTTCAGCATCGTCTAAGCTATCCCCATCCCCACCTGGGCCATGGCGTCTCAGCCCTACTGCTGTGGTGGTGCAGGCCTTGCCTCCCCTCCTGCCGACGCCGACGCCGACGCGCTGGTGGGCGCCCCTGGCGCCATCGAGGCGGGCCCGCGCCGCCGCGGTGGCTGCGCACTCCGCGGCTGGGCTGCCCACACCTGCGGGGCTTCGCGAGGCTGCTCGCCTCCTCCGGTCCAGCGAGGCCAGGGCGAGGGCGGCGGCGGCGGTGCCGGCGTCGAGCACCCCGGGGCCCTCAACTTTCGCGGCAGGCCGGCCAGGCCGATGACGCGCCTGCTGGCGCTGCTCCTGCTCTAGTTCCGGCCAGGGCGCGCCGGCATGGTCCGAAGAAGAAGAAGGCGAAGAAGACGAAGAATAATAATAATAATAATAATATTAATAATAATAATAAGAATAATAATAAGAAAAATAAGAATAATAATAATAATAATAATAAGAAGAAGAAGAAGAAGAAGAAGAAGAAGAAGAAGAAGAAGAAGCAGAAGCAGCCGATGTGAGTCGAGGCGGCCGTGCAGTGCATCACTGCAGCGGAGGTGTCGCTCGTGGGCGGTGGCCCCGCTGTCTCTCCTGCACCGCTCTCGGCCGACGCGCTGGAGTTCAAGCCCGTCCGCGAGCTGAAGCCTCAGACGCCTCGTGAACGCTCTCCACGGCGCGGCCCCGCTCTCCACAGGGCGGCCCGGTCGTTGCTCCTGCACCTCCGCCTCCTGCGGCCGCCGCTGGTTCTGCTTCCGGTGCCCCGCGCTTCGATGTCAACCAGCCTGTCACGGGGCCGGGCCTCGAGGGCATGCGCGCCACCGTCCCGTCGTTCGACGAGGCAGCGGAGCGCTACGCGGTGCAGGCCGGCACCATCAGCGAACGCGTGTGCGTGCGTGGGGCCAGTCTGCGCGCGTGCGGCTGGCGGTCGCCCTTTGCGTTTGTCGGCAGGTGAGTTCGCGTGTGCCGATGGGCACCCTATCCTGGTAGGTGCTGCTTTCAGATGCTTTCTGCTTCGCGTTCGGAGGGGATATCTCAGCCCTCACGCGAAACCCGAAGGAACAGCCATTATTTCACCACCTGGGTGGGTAAGTCGGCCAGCGGGGCCAAGTTCACCCGAGTGGGGATAGGAACAGGTCAAACAGTGCCCAGTCGTCCTCCTCATCATCACCAAGTTTATACGTCCTCCTCCTTGTCGTGCTTCGTGTCCCCTTCCAGCTGATGTCTCATGCAACCGATCGGCCAAGGAAGCTACTTGGCTTCGCCGCGTGCGAGTTTCCCTCCCCGCAGTTC